TACCTGTGCCACGGTGATGGATGCTACAACAGAAGCAAGCTGGATTATCTTGCTGAAGCGGCAACAAAACGAGGATGCCGGCGCGCCCTTGGGTATCGCGGGGGAGACAGAACACGAAATTCATACTAACGGAGGACCACGTCTCCTATGCACTGGGAAAGGCTGGAGCGGGGCTTGCTTCGGCGGTGACGGCTTGGTGCGCTGACACGCTTCGCAGGACACACTTACACTTCTCCTTATCCGTATTTGGGCAGTGGAAGTCACGAGAAAGCGACGTGAAGGTCTTCTCACGTCCAAGATGCGCATCTCTTGGGGAATCATGGAACTCGTGTATTAGATCGTCGTCCAGCTGGACGACGATGTGTTATGGGTCCTCGGGATCAATAAAATAGGTTAGCAGATCACCACCGAGGCCGTACCGGTCCACCCAAGCACGCGAATTCGGAGCAATCTGCATCGTGCTGACTCGGACGGGTTCTTCAGGTACTTGATCAGTTCGGAGCACGCCGGGTCCAACTCATACGCGTACGAAATCGAGTCACGCTGAGAAGTAGTCACTGCGACCTCCACCGCAGCGGCTTCGTCAGCAACACATGCGGAGCACTCGTCGTCATCATTGTCGTCAACGACGTGACGACCCGACAGCGCATAGTCTGGTCGACGCGAGAGCGCTTCGGCGAGGATGTTAGTATTGCCAGGCTTGTAGTGGACAACGAAATTGTACTCGAAAAGAGTGTGAGCCAGCGCGTCATGCTTTAAGAGAGATGCGGAGTCTTCATAGAGGTGCGAAATGACGCGCGCTCGGTGTCCACGACGAAGGTCTGCTCATCCTGCAGATAGATTCGAAACTTAATTAATGATTAGCGCATGACCAGCCGTTCCTTGTTATACACAGGATAATTACGTTCGGCCGGATTCAGCTCGCACAACTGGTGATTCACCACTCGCTCGCTTCCTGCATCGTCGAACTGCATCAGGGCAAAGCCGATCGTAAAATCACTGGTGTCGCGCACGACTAGGATGGTCTGGAGTTTTCAGGCGGCATCATGACGGCCACGGTGGATAAGCTCGTCTTCACCGCGTCGAAGGTCATTTGGTGTTCTGAACGCCCCGTTCACGTGGCTTCAGCCTTGAGTAGCTGTGACATTGGGCGAACTGCCGACGCGAAGATCTTCGAATAGTGGTGGAGATTCGTCGCGAGACCGAGCCACTGCCGAAACTGCTTCTGATCTTGCGGTGTTGGCCAGTCACTCCTGGTTGCAACTTTCTCCGGGTTAGCACTGACCGTCCATGCTAGCGTAGCTCCCAAGAGCCGGGATCTTGGGCGCGCAGAATATACACACCTTCAAGTTGGCATATAGCTTGTTCTAACGCATCACCTCGAACATCTTGTAGAGGTGCTGTAGGTGGATCTCGACTTGGGTTATATCGTGTTCGGCATGACGATCAATGAAGATGTCATCGCAAAAAGTAACTGGGCGCAAAGGCCCGATACGGTCGCAGAAGGTTAGACACTATACGGTTGAAGGTTGCCGGAGAATTCTCCAGCCCTTGCGGCATCGAGATCCACTTCCACACATGCCGCTCAACGGCACTCAACGGCACGTCATCCTCGCGCATCACAATCTGATAGTAACCGCCCATCAGATCAATGGTGCTGTACATTGGACTGTCTGGTGTGGGGTCAAGTACATGTATTGGTGTTTGCGCCGAAATGGTAGAATCGTTGAGCTTGTTGAGGACGTGAACGATCCTCTATCCACCGGTCGCTTCTTGACACATAATGTAGGGCTGAAGGGAGGCGACAGGCTTTCGCAAACTTGGCCGGATTCCGGCGACTTTCAAAGAAAGCATCAATCAATAGTTTCGTCTTGGCCATGGGGGGTGGGGG